CAGTATGATGCCTGCGCTCCAGCGCTGAACATAGATCGGCATTAGGGGTACCTTAGGGTGCCTTTCAAGCGATCCTGAAAGGGCTCTTTAAAGGGATCTAAGGGTACTATAAAGGGTTTTGGGTTTACGGGTACCTTTAAAGATATCCTTTAAGGGATCCTTTAAAGGTTCCTATAAGGGTTCCTATAAGGGTTCCTATAAGGGTTCTACAAAGGGTTTGGGGTTGAGGCAGTTCCGATGCTACTATTTAGGCTACTATATTCGGGTCCAGTATGGGGGTTTCCGAAAATTAGGGGTACCTTATGTTGGTGTCCGTATAATAAGGGTTCTATTTCGGGCAAGTTTAGGGTACATATTAGGTTCCCCTATTTTCGGAACCTCCGTTATGCCTGACTACTTTGTTGTAGGTCCTTATTATAAACCCTGTATGGAGTTTGTAGGGACCCTACAACAAAGTAGTAGGTTTCGGTAGTTCAAGATCAAGGTAAGGTTTAGGGTTGAGGGTGGAAGTCTCGTGTCTGTAGTTATGGCTTCAGATCCAGTGCTTAGGGGCTCTTAAGCGAAGCGGTTTCGTAGGGGTTGATTGGGGGGGTGGCAGGGTTTGGAGAGGTCGTAGGGCGGGTTAAACCCTCAACCCGGCACTTCCCTACACCCTAAACCCGAAGCCCTGAAACCACTGTTTTCTAGGACTCTATGTGGCCATATAGTATGCACTTAGGCCTTAAGGTACCTTTTTAGGAACCCTTTCGGGCCTAAGTATATACTACATGGGTACACCCCCCCCCCCTATACCCCCAAACCCCTGGACCCTAAACCCCTATAACCATAAAGCCTGAGCCACCGGGTCACCGGGTGCAGAGCACCTCTAGAATAACGCTTATAGACCCTTTTAAAGAACCCTAAACCCTAAAAGCTTGTTAAAAGAACCCTAAACCCCAGACCCCTTTTAAAGAAACCCTAAACCCTGAACCCTAAACCCTGACCCCGGTAGACCCCTAGCATTACCAGCGCCTTTGAAGGTCCCTCGAGTTGCCGGCTCAGGGGGCTGATGAGGGTGGAGAAGGGGTCTTAAGGTTTGGGGGGTTAGGGTTTAGGGCTTAGGGTTTAGGGCTTAGGGTTTTTTTTTTTTTTAAAGTTGAGTTGACTTTTACGTCTGCCGGCAGTCGGCTCTCAACTACATCCATGGGTTTAGGGCTTAGGGTTTAGGGATTAAGGGTTTAGGGGGTTTAGGGTTTAGGGCTTAGGGTTTAGGGTTTAGGGGTTGGGGCTTAGGGTGTTTGAGGGTCAGGGCGTTGGGATCAGAAGGGGCTTGGGGGATGTGATGTTGCCGGGTGGCGGCTCTGGCGTTCGATCCCAGGTTCTACGTTTCAAGGTTTGCCAACGCCCCCAAACCCTGAAAGCCTAAACCGAAACTAATATGCCACGAAATCCTCCGAAGCTACGACGCCTTAAAACCTTAAACCTCAAAACAACTGTAAAACAGCTGTAAACAACATGCCAACACAGTGGAAACACCTTCTGCAAAGCTTAGAAGCATCTTACAAAACCCTCCGGATAAATGCACTGCCTAACTAAATAGTGTCTTCCCCTCAACCCCAAACCCTAAACCACTAACCCAAACTTGTATACATCCCCCAGAAAACCAGATGTCTTCATCGTCCGTGCCTGCCAGGAAAGCACGGCGGCCCTGGGACGCTTTGGGGCGGGTGTCCGAATTTGCAGTGGGGGCTCTGATTTTTCTGATCCAGGGCTAGAGTTTGGGGCTTGGGTCAGGGTTAGGGCTTAGGGTTATGGGGCTGTAGACCACAATATCTAAAAACTCTACAGAGCCCACAAAGATTGCCCTCCCTAAAGACCTGCCGAACTGGTCTCGAAGGCTTCGATATCTTCTCCTGTAGGTTCTACCTTAGCCCCGAAGAACTTACCTGCAACCAGAACCCTGCAAAGGTAGGTTTCTAGAGGGTGCACAGGGCGAGAGCAGGAATAACGACGTACAGTTCAAAGTAATGAGGAGCAGCAAATGGCACTGAATACTTCAAGCTGCAAATTCCGCACGTTCCTTAAACACCAACCATGCCTAAACCCTAAAACGGCATACACGGAAGAGCCGCAAAGCTAGTGCAGTCGAGTTGCGCTGCGGCCACCAAGCAGGTCTTGCGCGATCTCCTTCACCGGTTTCGGGTTTCGGGAGCCCCAAACCCTACCCATAGGCTCCATAGTAGTTCCTTTTTGGGGTTCATAATTAGAGTCCTATAAGGTAATCCCAATAAGGAACTACTATGGAGCCTATGGGTAAACCCAGGCTTAGATGCCCCCCTCCCCCAAAGAAGAGACTACCGGGCCTGCTGATGAGAAGCTCCCGGCTTCGGGGTTTAGGATTTAGGGGTTTAAGGTTTAGGGTTTAGGGTTTAGGAGTTTAGGGTTTAGGGTTTAGGTTTACGTGGATTTCGGCTCCTTCTTGAGAAGATCTTTCGTTACTCAAACCCTAAGGGTCCAAGTAATCCTGATTTATGGCCTCTGGTACCCAACATTCACCCAAACTCCTAAAATAGGGAGTACTTGGACCCTGAGGGAAATGAAACATGTCCATTTGGGGATTGGAAAGTACGACCCCGACATGAAACGACGCTCTGGTTTCGGGCGAAGGAAGGTTCGGGCTTCACAGTCTTTCATTGGGGCGTTGGGTTTCTTTCTGCCCTTACGCAACCTCTGAAGGGCCCTTACAAGAGCCCTTGCAGAACGCTTAAGGACAAACGATGGAGGGACCTTAGGTACGGCCCCCAATCAGTCGTAGTTGAATAATATTCATAATATAGATATGTTAGGACCTTAATAGTAGCCCTATTATAGACTCTTACTGTAAAAAGGCCGTACCTAAGAGGGACCAATGAGGGTTTCAATACTAATGTGGCCCCGAAATTGCAACTCCTTCTTGGGGTTCGCTGTTAAGGCTCTGTCAAGGCTTTAGGGCTTATGGGCCTTGAAGCCATGAACTTCAACGCAGACCCAACAAAAATCAAAAGCTGAAGAAAACTTAGTTCCCCAATAAGCCAGGGAAAGCAAAGGTTGAACTTTCAGATTACTACTACAATATATATATATATATATATATACACATAAACCCAAAAAGTTTAAAGGTTGGGTATTGGAGAACCAAGAAGAAATGGGGGTTTGGGGTTGAACTCAGCTTCGCAACTGCGAAGTCCAAATGGGTCCTCGTCATCGCCAAGGGATGCAAGCGCCAGGGATGTCGATGCAACGGAACGCAACTTCTAAGCCAAGCTGAGCAGGAGCAAGGCTTGCAAGCTTTACCACACGGACACAAGCACAACCCCTGAAACCCTAAAGCCCTAAACCCTAAGCCCTAAAACCCTACCGAAACCCCAAACCCTAACGGAAGACAACCCTAAACCCTGGAACCCAATTTAGGCTTTACTGTTGGGCCTTGACCCCTGACAGCTTAAACCCGGAGGCACAAACTATCGAAGGTGTTTTGTCACACAGTAGCATCCCTAAGCCCACGAAACCTTCCGACTTCGAAACGACAGCACCGCAATGCAATAGGGTAGTTCTGCTAGCCATGCCGTTGCATAAATCCGAGGGTCCTAGACCATAATTTCATGCAAACTCAAAGCCCGCCACCCAAACTTTGGAACCGAAGATCCACTGGCAAACCATGTCGCACACTCTGCAGACACTGCACCCTCTAACCCCAGACCCAGGACCCGAACCCTAAAGCCCAGACCCCAAAACCCGAAACTCTCGAAACCCTAAACACACTAAGACCATCGATCCCCCGGCGCCTATGACTTCCGCAAGCGCGAGACCGAACAATCCAAAGTAGCATCTATCCCAAGGGACCCAAACGACGAAACTTTAAGGAAAGAGGCATCGCATTCGGTGCTGGGTTTTTGGTTTATAAGGTTCAAGGTGTAGGGATTAGGAAAAGTAATTATGATTCAAAGGATTTAGAAGCTTTGGGTCAAGGAAAGGTTTCGGCCTCATTTAGGGGCCTTCATGATTGGTAGTGTATCAGTGTATCCGACCTAGCCTGCCAGCCCCCAAAGCTTTTTTCCGGTTCCTGATCGTTCAGAGCGAACTATGAACCCTAATTCAAACCTGCCCTGAACCCTAAACCCTAAACTCTGAACCCCCACACGATCAGGCTTAACACCTGCCCCGATATCTCCGACGTGCAAAACCTGGAAACCCACCAGCCCTCTGAAAGATGTCCTTTTTAAAGGGTCCTTCCTCCGTCTGGAAGGTGTGAAAATCCCGAAGAGTTTCCACCAACAAAGGTCGAAGTCCTTCGCCGTTAAACACCCTAGGAACCCTAACGACCCCTGATAACCCCTACAAGCACGCTGACAAAAAATCACTAGTAGACAACAGCAACGCAAGAGTTTGATTCAGAAAGCTCAACTCCAAAGACCTGGCGAACAGACCCTTATAAAGCCCCGATCCATCATGTACACTTTGAAGGCCCCTAAACTTTGATTCAAACAGCTGACGCGCCAATTTAAAGCCCGTACTATTATTACAATTATCATGATTCTTATTCTTGTTATTTCTCCTATCCGTAATCGTGTTCGTACTCTTATTCTTATTATTGAAAATAATTATTATTATTATTATTATTATTATTACTATTATTAAGTATTAATTATTAATTATTATTATTTTAATTAATATTATTATTTTAGTTATTATTATTATTATGATTATTATTATGATTATTATTATGATTATTATTATGATTATTATTATGATTATTATTATGATTATTATTATGATTATTATTATGATTATTATTACTATTAGTATTATTATTACTACTTTTAGTAGTAGTAGTAGTAGTAGTAGTAGTAGTAGTAGTAGTAGTAGTAGTAGTAGTAGTAGTAGTAGTAGTAGTAGTTGTTGTTGTTGTTGTTGTTGCAGCAGTAGCAGCAGCAGCAGTAGTAGCAGTAGTAGTATTTGAGCCCTTCCAAGAGCCCTTCTGCCTGCCAAACCTCCCCAGCGGCGCCACGGCCAAGCAAACGCTCCTGCTCCGAGCAAGGCAAGTGCTGAGGGTTTAGGGCTTGTTAGGGTTTATGGCTTACAATTTAGGGTTTAGGGGGTAGAGAGCTGGTTGTGTCCCTCAAGCTCCCTCTCCCTGTCCTGCTCTCGTTCTCGTTCTCTCGCTCTGTTACTCTCTTTCTGTCGCTGGGATGCCAATGAATGTTATCAATTTTATTCCAGCCCTGAACCCTAATACTCAATTCCAAAATCCTAAACTCCGAATCCGAAATCCTAACCACCTCGACACAAACCTGTGGGATGGGAAATGGGGATGACTCACTGCCTGCATCCTCTACGCAGAAACACAGCGATCTCACTTTTCGCTGTTTAGGGCTTGGGTTCAGGGTTTAGGGTTTTTCACCCGAAGCCCGAGAGGCCTAGACTACTCAACCTTAAACCTTGGACCCTAGACCCCAAAGCCCGAAAGCCCGGAAGCAAACCCTTAAAACGCCAGAAGCCCGACCCCGACCTACAAGGCTGTGCCCCAAAACCCTACAGCCCCTTCCGCCTGCTCTTCCTAAGCACCCCCCAAAAAACCTATAAACTCTAAAACCCCCCAAACAAAACCCTATACCTAAACAACAACGTATAAGCCCTAAAACACCTACAAACCCCTAAACAAAAACATATATGCCCTAAAAACCTCGTAAATAAAAAATAACAAAAAAAAGCACCGAGCTGTCCAGTCGATAGGGGATCTCCGGCTCGGAGCGGCCTGGTTTAGGGCTGAGGGTTTAGGGGTTTAGGGGTTTGGAGTTTAGGGTTTGGGGGTTTAGGGGTTTAGGGGTTTAGGGTTTGGGGTTTAGGGTTATGTAGGGCTTAGGGTTGAGGGTTTAGGGGTTTTGGCTTTTTAGGGTTTGGGGTTTGGGGTTTGAGGTTTAGGGCCTAGGGCACTTCTTGGTGGAAGGGGCCTGTTCAATACGAGTTTCATGGGGGTTTACCAACGTGCTAAGATTTTACATGGAGTGTTATAGAATGTTTTGAAAGTCTCACAAGGTCTGAAAAGCTTAAACGGAACTCAGAACGGTTCATTCGGGTTTAGGATTTGGTGGATTTGTGTTGTCGGGTTTAGGATTTGGGGCTTCAGGGCTTAGGATTTCAGAGGCTTCTGAAGGGGCGCAAACAAGGCTCAACAAGAACTTAACTGATACGGGTTTCGTGGGGTTCATAAGGGGCTTACAAAATTGAAAATGGTTCCACAGAGGTGTATATAGGCAGGCCCTTGGAAAGATAACTGGTCCTGAAGAAAGCCCCCCACCCTAAACTCCAAATCGCCAATTCCAAGCCTTTCAATCCCAGGTTCGAAGTATCTTACGCAGGGAAAGTGGAAGCTCACCCTTATGTCGTACCTCTCAGCACAAAGTGTCTACGATCATGGTTGCAAGCAAGTTTCTATGACGCCGTGGACAATGAGAACTGAAATGGTAATTGCTGACCTCGGACTCACCGCACAGTCCTCGCGCCTGATGGCATGGAGGCCATGTGTCTGGCGTTGAGCTACGATGAAGGGCCCGGGCAGGGCTGTGCACTGGCCAGCTTGAGCTACAGGGGCATGGCTTTTGGATGGCTGTTGGAGACTGTACATCCTAAGCCCGAGACCTGACAGCCTGAACCCCGAAGATAAACCTTCCTCGCCGAAGTACGAAACAAAAGGCGCTGGCATCTCCCAGATCAGAATGGATGCTTGAGAAGTAGAAAGAGATTGTGGTCGAAGGTTTCGGGCTGAGGGTTTAAGGTCTACGGATGAAGTCCCGCATTTGACTGACATCAGGACAATCCCAGACCCGTTAGGGGCTTCCATACGCCGCACCGCTGTGCTGCTCCCGCAAGACCGCAAGCTCTGCCTGTGGTTTCGAGCCAGAGTCAGGAGAAGATGCGTGCCGAGAGTCATACATAAAAACATAAGAGGCTTCGCACATCAGGGTTTACTATGGCTGGGCGATGTGGATAATTGGAAGCATCGGGACCTATAGGGGTAAGAGTATTGAAATCGTCGGTTCTCCACAGGTCCGCATGACTCCAAAGAGTCTTCAAGCTCCGATTTGCGTTTACGTTCATGAAACTACTGCTGCGCTTTGCAGAGGCTGTGCTGCATTGTTTGATTTTGAGGTATATCTAGCTGGATGGACCGAGTCGCAGAGATGCTTGGCCAGCCGGATGGGTGACCTGCTATGCCCTTGGCTCCGTCAGTCTACGGCAGACTGAGTGCTCATATCTGCTTCAACAGATATGTAGGTTTCTTGCTTTCGGCATCGCATCGTAATATCGTTGTCGAAATACTGCTTCTGCTTCTGCTTCTTACTTCTTACTCATTCAACACCTCCTACTGCTTCTTCTGTTCCCCTGCCACGGTTCGGGCTGCTGCTACTACTACCACTCACCAGTAAAATCACCTACTACTCTTCTCCGTGCCTTCTGTCTACCATGACAGCAGCAATGCAAAACTCAAAACCACTGCGGGATGGAGCGGAGGGCGAAGAAACCTCGAAGGAATCTGCGCGATGGTTTCGAAAGAGCACCACCTCAGCGCACGCGGGCCGTCGAGGGGCCTGTAGGGGTAGCAGAATATAGAGCATTTTCTAAAAATAATAGGGTTTGGGGCCCCTTTTATAGCATACTTATAACAAGGAACCCTAAGGAATGATATTGTGAAGATGGAGAGGATCCATCCTTGCCGTCGTAAGTAGCAGCGGGTCTTACAGGGAGGACATGGCACAGCACTTCGGATCGAATTCTTTTCACACAAGCAAATCTGTGCTTCTGATCTTCAGTTCTGAGTGATGCTCAGTAACGTGTACACTTTACAGACTGCGCATGATCACTCGGCTCAGCCATCAGGGCTGCGACAAGGCAACAAGTACGGCAATGAGACATGTCATCAACACTCCTCCTTGCTTGGTAGCTTTCAGCCACAAGCATCCATCTACTCATGCCGTCTTGTTGGGCGGTGCTCCACACTACCCTTCGCTATGACTGGACGCGCTCGTTATTTTGAGCACTTCAATCATCTTTCCACCTGGCAATCCAAGCAGAGATATGTATCTTGGTGTCAATGTCGGACCAAACCAAACGACACTTGTAGGACAACGACTTGTGCCTCCACAAATACAGCACATAGCGAAACTGACGATTGGTACAGTCGGTGCTCATCAAGGACTCGACCAATCTTTCGGCCTGGTTCATCTTCAGGCCCGAGACAGGGAGCCCCTGCCTTCGGAGTGTCTCGCGTAGCTCATCTGAGGTCATAAGCATCAAGACGTCGTAGCAAACCCTCATTCGCTCACCTCGAGTCTCGTTTGAAGGAGCCCGCTGAGGTGTTGTCGCACCTATGGTAGGTTCTCTGGGTTCCTGCGGAGTCGTCCGCAGAGGCGTCATCTGACTTGCCGTAGGTGAGGGTCCCGGTGTGGCAACCGGCGTAGACCGCCTTGGTGTAGTAGGAGGACTTGGAATCGGGGGCGTAGGAGGCCTCCGTCTCGTGCGCAATGTAGCCGCTTCGCTGCTCCTCCTGATCTCTTGTCTGGCAACGCCAGACGCTGCCCTCGCAACTTCTTCAAGCTTCTTAGCCTTTCTTTGTCTCTTAGACCAACGGAGGTACTTGCGGTACACATAGCGGACAACTTCCCAAAGCACAACTGCGAACACTGAAGTGACCAAGCAGACTAGCAAAAGCTCATCTACTCCAGTGCCTGGCAAAGGCTCTTTCACTTCAGACTCGACTCCACGAGCTGGGCATATGCACTGAGCTATAGTCACCAAAACCATCATCAGCTTCAACTTTAGCTCCTTGACCCAGTTCGTAGCAAAGCCCACAAAGCCCCATAGCTGCATCAGGCGATGCAGTCGCAACTTAGGCTGCGCTTTGGTTGCTAGATCAGCTAGCTGCCATTCACCAGGCGTGTGTCTGATGGTCAAAGTCCCATTCTCGACATTCTCCCGGATGTAGCTCGCACGAATCTTCAAGTGCCGTGTTCTCTGGGACCCGTGTCCGCCCTGACACATGGAAACGGCCGAGGTATTATCTATAGCCAACACCTTCTGGTACTGGTTGGGGAAGAGCTCGTTCAGCAGCGAGTGGACGGAACACAACAGGGTGCAACCCTGAGTAGCAGCGTACAGCTCCGATTCCATAACACTCAAAGTCACAAACGATTGCCTGCCTGCTTTCCATGCCAGAGGCGAACCTGCCAGGGTTACAACAGCAGCCCCAAAGCTCCTTCTCCCATACGGAGCATACGAGGCGTCCGTAAAGCACACCAGCTCTTTTGAAACTTCTGTAGTCGGGCCCAACGTTAGGCGCACATCAACTGTTCCAGAGAGGTATGCCAGAACACGTAGTCCAACACGGTGAACATAGTCCGGCCTGCGCCCCAACATAGAAGCCATATGGTTAGTCGTGAACAACAGGTCAGGTCGTGTCTTAGTTGCCAGCCACAACAGCTCCCCAACCACACGTTGAGCTCGCTTCGTAGCCTCCTCCGTGATCTCCTCCTCAGGCTCGTCATTGTTCTCAGCTTGATCAATCCAGTCCTTCGGTACTGGTAGCTGGGTAGAGAAACACTCCTCCATCCCATACGATCGTAGTAGATCACGAACATAAGCCGACTGCCCAATTGTAAACACTCGCCTCGCCGAACCATCTTCTGCGACTCTGGCCTCCGTCTTAATCTCAACACCCAAATAGCGGACCGGTTCGACATCCCCAATCCATTCCAAAGGGGAGGCTGGCCAATCTTTGACGACAAACTCATGAACTGCCTTCACTATGACCTTCGTGGAGAAGTAGGCAATGTCGTCCACATACAGCACGATGAGCCCGTACAGAACCCCAGTCACTTCATCGATGATGGTCCACAACTCTGGCTCTGACACCGTAGGTCTCAACACCAACATCACATTGTCGACTGGAATGCGAGCAGTAAGCAGTCTTTTGTTGCGATAGTCACACCATATCCGCGGACTTTCCCGCAGGCCATAGAGCGGTCTTTCAACTATCCACGCCTCGTGACCAGCAACTCCCGACTCTCGGACCAATCGGGGCGGGTAAATCCCATACTTCGGGAGATGCTCTGGCCAGGTGGCCAAGAGGAAAGCCCCAGTGATATCCGAGATCGCCCCAAACCAATTCATCAGAGCAGAGACTATGAGAGTGAGTCTCAGCGAGTCTGTTGAAGATCCAGCCGCATACAAATCACCAAAGTCAACGTTGTCCTTCACGAAGTTTCCACATATAACTAAGCGGCATTTCCTTCTCACCCGCTTACCCTGAACCTGAGGCGGCTTAAGGGTGAAGATGCATTTAGCAGGCGCAAACGTCACAAGGCCCTGGGACTCCATCTCCTTGGCTTGGTCCAGGGAGACTTTCCGTAGGGTACCAGAGGAGAAAAGGGCTTCGACCTCCTTCTTAATTGCCTCGGTCCAGCGGCTCAAATACTGTTTGACTTGGACAGCAGGAACAGTGTGGACTATCTTGAGGTCCTCCTCTAGGCTATCCAGTAGGGCCTCGTAGTCGATCTCGCCCGGGTCATCGTTCACCGGTGTCACCCTTGCAGCCTTCAAGCACATCATACTCCTCAGCCGCTCCAATCCCATGAGCTCCTTATGAACATAGTCCAAGAACTCGCACACCTGGTCACGAGCATCCGATACGTGCTCTCTTGTTTCTTCACCCATACGACGGTACTCTTCAGCCAAGATCTCTTCCTCCTCCAGCAAGTCTCGGAGTCTAGCTGCTCGATCTTCCATGTCTCCAATGGCCAACTCCAAATCATGAGGTATATGTGACCAAGCCTCCTTCGTTACTGGAGCAACTTGTGGTACCTTGTCAGGCTCACCCCCGTATTCTGGAGAATCTCGAGGTTGTTCTGGAACACCATGGTCTGCAACTCTACCTTCTAGGCCCCCGTATTCTGGAGAATCTCGATGTTGTTCTGGAACACCATGGCCTGCCGACGCATCCAGTAGACCAACTCTGATCACTTTGAGGGCTGGAGGATCCTGATCGTCAACGGGTTTTGATAGGTGTGGCTCCCACTCGAAACGCATTCCCCGTAGTAGATCCAAGTGAGGCTCCTTCAACTTAGCGCTGTCCCTCACCGAGTAAGCAATCAGCACAACTCTGGAACCTCCATACCACGGCCTCGTAGAGTGGCGATGCTTGGGTTCAAAGACCTGGTAGGGCACATCACCGTCCAAGGGGAGCACCTTCACTCCTGTTGGTTCCTCAACCTCCAAAGCGCCACCCTTGAAGTACGACAAGCCAGCCACAAGATTCTCACCAACATTGTGGGCGTCCACGTGCTGCTTTGCTTCCACATCAGTCGTCACAGCAATGGCATTGAACTTGTGGTCGGGCTTCAGCTGCTTGACATACTTCACAAAAGCTCTCGTGCTCGCCGGGAATGATCCGGTGGCGGTTTTCACCCCAACTATTCCACCATGAACAAACGCACCAGCATTCCAAATTTTCTGGGTGTCCTTCTGGGGTCCAAAACGCTTAGGCGTAGGTGCAGTTGAGGGGAGCATAATCGCCAGGTTCTCCAACTGGTCAGCTGTCAGGGCGCCGTCCTCCTCCTCAAGTAGTCTCCTGGCATAACATTCCGCTGGGTGATCAGGATCATGAGGGAAACACTCTTCATGATCTCCAAGCTCACCCTCCACCTCCCTTGCACCCGCTTTGCCCTTTATCCGTCTGGTAGGCACAGGAAGTAGAGCTTCATACTCCTCAAGGTCAATGATCTTATCCGGCTCCACCAAATGCGGTCGAAGATGAGTAGATGTCATGTAGGCCCCGTTCTCAAACCTTATCAGGTGTCCTCCTCTGACGTCTAAGCTGGGCCCCACATACGTACCACCCTTCCATCTTGAGTCCAGATCATACTTTCCGCCGGTCCCGTAAACCTTGGAGCGAACGTGGACCTTGGTTCCAAACGGCAACATTGAAGGTGACTTTCGCAGCAAACGGTCCATTCGATCTTGCACCGCATAGTTCGCCGCCACCGCCCAAGTATCCTTCGGGAGATCTGTAGCAGTCAGCAACCGCTTGACCGCCCCTTTCACCCACTTAACCGCCGCCTCCGCTCGCCCGTTTGATTGAGGAGCCTGTCCTTCTGTAAACGTGCAGAAGATTCCTCGCTGAAGGGCCCAAGTGCGGAGTGACTGGACACGTAGCTCGCGTGCCCGATCTGCATGTATCCTGGAGATGTAGAGGCCTTCGGCTTTCATTTTCAGCACCGTTTCCTGGACTGCTGCCGTCACTTCAGCGGCTGTCCTGCTCCTCAAAGGCCTGACCACATAGACAGTCTGGAAGTCCATTTCGTAGCCAACCTCATCGAAGATGCGCTGAAACTCTTCTTCAGAGAGCCCCCTAACACCCTCTTCACCCGCAGCAGGTCCTCGAGATCTCCTCTCGGGAACTTCCTCCATTGGGTGCGGAACTCCATCGTTTCCATCTGCATCATAGCCCGCCATTTCTACGAGCGGGTCAAACATAACACCTTCCATATCAAGGGCCCCCGAACTCCTCACCAGCTGGATCATCGCCAAACTCACTGAGTCCTTCGGCTTGTGGTTCATGAGGTTCACTGGGTCCTTCGGCTTGTGGTTCATGAGGTTCACTGGGTCCTTCGGCTTGTGGTTCATGAGGATCACTGGGTCCTTTGGCTTGTGGTTCATGAGGATCACTGGGTTCTTCGGCTTGTGGTTCATGAGGTTCACTGGGTCCTTCGGCTTGTGGTTCATGAGGATCACTGGGTCCTTTGGCTTGTGGTTCATGAGGATCACTGGGTTCTTCGGCTTGTGTTACCCTTGGCATTGTGTAAGCTCCGATGAGCACGTAGCGATAATCCTTGTGGTTGGGATCAGCGGCTTTATGCCTGAAAGGTCCTGCTATGTCCAAACTCAAACAGTGTAGAGAAGGATGCCGAACCTTACGATGAGCCCTTCCGGTGCCCGTAGAGGTAACGCACGTTCGGCACCGCCTGTTGAAAGGTAGGTGATTGTTCTTCACATGCGTGCGCCACATAGCCAGCTCCTTATCGGAGAACGCCTCCAAGAACTTTGCAGGGTCCGCATCAAGCTTCTTAACCCACTTCATCACTTGCAAAGCTTCCGGCTCTCTTCCCCAAGCCCTTACTGCCTCCACTAGCGCCCTCTTAAACTCCGGAGTCCACTGAGAACTTCTGGGCGTAGTCGTAGGAGGCAGCTGATTCCTCAAAGAGAGATTAGTTGCCAAACTCTCACCCTCCTCTTCCAAGCACATCGCCTCAGTGAACATATCCCAGGACTTGGTAACCGACAGCCACTTCGCGACTCCACCAATGCGCAAAATGTCCATCAGCTTCTTGCCCTCCATCATAGCGAACACAGGATGTCCCCCATAATGCGCCCGGGCGGCCTTTGCCACCATCATCAACCACATCATCTTCTGAACCAGATCAACACGTGTAGGTGGACTCCCAATGATTCCATCCACTCTTCCAGTAGCCGCTGCCCACAGCAGAGCCCTGTAGATGCCCGCAACAATCCCCACGTCCTCCGCCTTGGAACGGTTGATATCCACCTGCACAAAGACACGGCCATCATCAAGTTCACGAAACAAAGGGTCGAGGCCTTTATCTGGTCCCGAGTACAAGTGGACCACCCACGTAGAGCTCATCAACCGCTTGCGCCGTTGCCGGGAGCCTGGCATGGCTCTCAAGTAGGACCAGCCTGACTTATCATCCAGCTCCACATTCTCAGCGACCGCTCTGTCCATCTCGGACCACCCCAGAAATGGGGAGCCCTCGCCAGACATAGCACGCAGCTGCGCTCCTCTTCCTCCGACCCTGACAAAATCGTCCAAATGCCGGGCCCAAGGTTTCTCAACATCCCACAGCCAAACAGCCTTCGCAGTAGCCTTGGTCGCATACTCCAGCTGCCGAAGTTTCTGGCACTCGATCTCGTAGATGAGGTCCAACGCTTGAGACTCAGCCACCACCGGACATCGTCCCACAACCTTCGGCTTTATGATTCCATGTTCCGGGTGGCGTATCGTAAGCCCGCCTTTTCGCGTCCAAGAGACCTGGCAGCCCAAGTCCTGAACCAATGCTCCGAGGGGCACGATGGGCCCCGAAGAGCCCTGGGCCGCCTTCTTGGTCAGCAACGTGCCGCTCGGCCCCTGTGCCAGAACAATCTCTTTGCCGTCCGCCAACTGCACTCGCACCTGGTCTGCCGCTTCAATCTCATGGTCCGTTGCCTCCCGGAACGGGTGAGAGGCTCCAGAGTCAAGAAGCCCAGTTCGACCCGTTCTCGGGTCGCACCCAACACCCACAGCCTGGTTCTCAACCTGAGTCGTAGACAGTGACAAAGTCTTAAGCTGCCAAATCTCCTTCAACATAGCGCTGGCCTCCTGGAGCAACGACTTCAGCTCACTCTCTGGGACCGCGGGAGCCACGCCAGACGCTGAGTCTCCAAGATCACTGTTCACCGTAGAGGACGCCGAGGTTGTTGTAGTAGATGAGGAAGCCTTGGGCTCGACAGTCACCTGAGCTACAGTGGGCTGTGGATGACCAGCTGTTTGCTTTGTTGGGCTGGACCCTCCTGATTTCGTTGGGCACTCTTGTTGCTGATGCATAGTGCTCCCACACGTCCAACATCGGCCCATGCGCTCCTTCCTGGTGAAGTTGTGGCCGAAAGTGCAAGCGGCTCCTTTAGAGCAGCCCTTCTCCGACAAGTAGAAGCGACACGGCGTCTTCGCCTTGGCCTTCGGCTGCGTAGTCAGCCCTCCAGCTTCTGGCGCGGCCTTCGAAGAAGGAGGAACATGAGGAGATGCCATAGCTGCCTTCACAAACGGGGTTCCCGAACTCCCTGGCCGACTCCTGTAAGCAATCTGCTCTAGCTCGCTCATCAGGGCCTGTTGAAGATCCCGGGCTCCTTTCTCCGACGGACGCGTGTCAACTTCCAATGTGTATCTCAACATAGACACCCGAAATGCAATGTCCGGGTTCTCGGGCAGGATCTTCTTGACAATCACATCCAGGCCCCGAACAAGTATGCTTTGGTCAGGGGCTTGCACTCCAAGGTCCGTTGCACGTCCCATCCATCGTCCCCATTTTCGCAGCTCGTCAACCGCCTCTGACGCCGTCTGGGAGGTAGTGGGATGCTCCAGCGCCTTCAGGATCTGCTGGCGCTCCGCCAAAGACCCCGGCCGATAAAGCACCATGACTCTGCACAGAGTGGGAAGAGTTCCCACCAGCCTCAAAGACAGCACTTCGTCCTTCACCTTCGTAGGCAGACTGGACAAAATCATAGACGAAGCCCTCTTATCAACTCTGGCCCATCGCACTTCCTTGAGGAACGCCGTCTCGTAGTCCTCGGCCTTCAGCGTGAGCTTCCCGACGTGCGATGCCTTGAGGTAGGCGTCGTAATATCTCGTAAGGCACGCCAGGATCTCTGCCCACCACAATCCAGAACCATTAGAGAGGTCGCCCATGTGGTTCTGGAGGCCATGGAGCCAGTCTCCTACATCGATTGCCGAGTTGTTCGATAGCTCCGCTAATCGCGGAAGCTCCGAAAGCCCAGGCTTCACCACCTCGGGCTCTCTCGCCTTGGTACTCAGGCTCTCAGACATTGCCGTCTGAAGTTGGGCCATCCCCTGCACCAAGGTCCCGATGGGATCCTGGAAAGCCAGCGATCCCGCCTTCACGCTTCCTTTGGCACCTTGTTCACCATGTGCGGGCGCCGTAGACGAACTCACCTCAGGCATGTTGCCAGGCCCAGATCCCAACCCAGCTCCAGCATTGGTACCTGTTCTCGAAGTCCTTGCTCCAAAAACACCAAGTGGGTCTCCTCCTGGACCGTTAGGGCCTCCACATCCACCTTGAGGATCGCCTCGAAGTTCGCTTGGGCCTGCATGTAGCCGGGCACTCGGTTGGGCTCTTAGGGGGTCATATCCTGCACTGTCAGGTGGTGCAAGTAGATCACCGGGATTACCCGCTCGCTCTTCTGCATGAAGGGCGGCACCCTCAGGTCCCGATGAAGTTCCACCCGCTCCCTCAACACCCCTGTCCTCCAAGGTCTGGCTCTGCATCTGGCCCAGCAGCTTTTCAAGCATCGCCTTGAGCTGCTGGTTTTCATCAGCGAGCTGTCGTCGCTGCTCATCATGCGTTCTCATTTCGATCTTCACCTGCTTCTGTACTTCCGCCAACAGCTGCTCTTGAGTCAAAGACGCACTAGAAGAGCCACCCTCATTTCGTTGTTCTGGGGTATAAAGATGAGGGGCTCGTCGAGACCACTGCTGCATCACCTGCTCAGCTTCCGGCGTGAACAGTCTCGCGGGTCTCGGCGTCGTAACCGAGGCCACCTGAGCAGGAGGTCTCTGTCTCGCTTCCATGATCGGGGTCATGACGGCACTCGCTTGACTCATACGTCTCTGCACAAACTCCTGCAGCCTCATGAACCAAACGCCTTGATTGCCGCCACCCGGTGAGTGTCCTCCACCTTGAGGTAGCTCTTCAGGTGGAGAAAACTCAAACCCTCCAACATCCACTCTCTGCTGAGTCTGCACATAGTCCAAACCCTCATGAAATGCACCATCAGGAACTTGTCTCCCTTGAACACCCGGAAGCTCACGAAGAGTATGCTCGGCTGGTTGCGGCACGCGTTGGGGCTCAGGCTGAGGAAGACTCTGCGTGGTAGGTTGAGGAAGACTCTGTGCCGTAGTAGGTTGAGGCAGACTCTGCGTCGTAGTACTCTGCACATCCCCACCTACTCTAGGTTCAACACGAGGACCAAGGAAGTTACCAACCTCACCGTTCATCATCACAGAAGGTCCTGGTTGCTGTTGCTCGCCGACGGGAAGTCCTTGCGAGGTAGAAGATGCTGCACCGTAGTTCGGTCCTGCCGTTTCACCTTCCAGCGCGGTGGTCGGTTTTGGGCTCATACCCTGAAGATGGAGAGGATCCATCCTTGCCGTCGTAAGTAGCAGCGGGTCTTACAGGGAGGACATGGCACAGCACTTCGGATCGAATTCTTTTCACACAAGCAAATCTGTGCTTCTGATCTTCAGTTCTGAGTGATGCTCAGTAACGTGTACACTTTACAGACTGCGCATGATCACTCGGCTCAGCCATCAGGGCTGCGACAAGGCAACAAGTACGGCAATGAGACATGTCATCAACATATTGGTAATTATTTAGGCCCCCATACTTAGGGCTACTACAGGGGGCACTAAAGGGGTCATTTTGTACTGCTGAAAGGAGCTTGATGTTCAAGGTTCTGGGCCCTAAGGAGCAGCAGTTGTTCAACCAATCGTGAAAGTCCCTAATGTAGGAACCTGATTAAGACGCCCTGGGTCTTTATTCGGGTTCCTTGTATGAATCCTACTATTTGGGGTGCTTTTTTGCCAGGGTTTCTTAATCACGTTCACCATACAGCCCGCATTGACCCTGAAGAGCCCCGACCATGTTTTGAGTTCAAGTTTCATCTCAGGGCGTCGGGGTGATGGTTCTACGGTTGATGATATAAATCCTGCATTACCTTAAGGATAATTCCCATAGTTTAGGGTCCTTAAGGTAATGCAGGATTTATATCATCAACCGTACTGATGCTCTGGATGTGCCAGAACTGCAAGACTTGACGGATCGGTCAGATCCTCTTTAAACTTTAAGTACTTACTTAAGTTTAACGTCTAGGGTCTGTTTACGGTTTCATCGGAGTCAATAATCCAACCCTGGTTTGAGCATTGCTGGACCTCCCTCGCTCCCGAAACTCTAAACCCTGGACCCTAGATGTATCCCCAAACCCTGAGCTCTAGATCGCTAAACCCTATATAAACCGCTCAGCCCAGAATCCCCTCAGCCCCAAAACCCAAAAAGTAAACAAAAGAAGCTCGAAGCCCGTAACCCACAAAGCCCCAAATCGGTTGCCCCGACCCGACCAGCTCTATTTTCCCAGACCCCCCCCCCCCAAATTATGGTAGGAGCCTTAGTATCCCCCCAAATTATGGTAGGAGCCTTAGTATGGCTTCAAATATATTCCTTGTTGAGGGTTCAGGGTTTAAGGTCTAGGCCCTCAAGTTATCGTAGGATCCCTGATTATTCGAGTTTGTAAGATTTAAGCGGTTTACTCAAGTATTTTGGAAGGTTTGGTTGGGTTCTAGTGCCTCCAGCCCGAACGTAGCAATGAGGCTTACGGCCAGAACCAGCAGAAGTTCCACAACTTACACGGCATACTCAATACTTTGAACTACTGGAAATGGATCTAACGCAGAAACAACCCCTAAAAAATCCTAAACCCTAAACCCTGAAAGCCCAAACCCCCAAAGCCTCAACCCTAAACCTTAAACCCTGAAGCCCCAAATCCCTAAAGCATAAACCCCAAACCCTGCACCCTACACCGGCCGCCTTACACGCCAAAAAAGCTACTCCCTCTAGGCCAGCCCATAAATGGAGTTTTCTGATTCCTCTGAGGGTTCTATAAGAATTACTATCATGGTGTAGTATAGTGGCCTTAGTAATTAGAACGTGCCTCTGGGATAGTTTTTTGTAAAACTATGCTGGGACCTTTGAACCACTCGCCCTCTACATGGTGACCCTTACACCCTGAACCTTAAATCCCACACCCGCAACTCTAAAACCCCAAACCTAAACCTTAGAACCCTAAACGCCCGTTTAAAGGAATCCAGAACCCCCAACACCCTAAACCTTAGAACCGTGGCCTGTAGTTCCCCTATGGATCCCTTTAAAGGAGCCCAAATGGATCCACCCTAAACACCCTATAGCAACCTTATGGATCCCTACAGTTGATGATACAAATCCTGCATTACCCATAATAGGGAACATACCGTAATTCTCATAGTTTAGGGTCCTTACGGAAATGCAGGATTTTTATCATCAGCCCTAACACCCAGGCCCGAAATCCCTGATCCCTAAACCCTAAATCCTAAACTAAACGCCCTATAGCACGCTTATGGATCCCTCAAACCCTAAGGCTCCATGTACCCTTATAGTAGATACTTAAGCCCCAAAGTAGTCCCTATATAGGTACTTTAAGGCCTAAGTATCTACTATAAGGGCACATGGAGCCTTAGGGAAAGCATTGTTCCTCCCAGCGGCCACGTCTAAGTCCGAACGACTCCCGGCACCCGTGGGAGGCAGCCCCAGGTCCGTAACTCAGGGGCTCGTTGGGCTTCTTGAAATACGGAATAACCTACCTTTTTTTGGTTCCTTATTATGATTTCCTTATACAGGTCCTTAAAAAGGTATATAGGTTATTCCGGCTTAAGGTAGGGTTTGGAGTTCAGGGTTGGGCGCTTAAAATTAGAGTTTAAGGTTTAGGGTTTAGGGCCCTTTGGGCGCTTCGCGCTTCGGGTTCTATGGAAGGGGTCCATCAGAGTTCCTTCAAAGTTAGGGGCTTCTTTGAATAGATACCTATATACTTTTTTTAGAGCTTTGGGTTCAGAATTAGGGTTTCTGTGCTTGTGGTTTAGGGGTTTATGTAGGGTTTAAGGGTTTCGGGTTCCCTTAAACGGGTCTATAGGGGTTCCTTTAAAGTGATCTATAAGGGGTTCTATAAGGGATCTATAGGATTTCGGCTTCGGGGTGAAGGGTTTAAGGTTTGGGGCTTGGGGTTCTGTGCGGAAGGGTTCTAGAGGCTTGGCTTTGGGTAGCGTTCATTGCTTTTTGGATTGGGAGTTGGGAACTGCAGCTTGGGGGGTTAAGGGTTTCTCATTTACGGTTTCGGCTTGGTGGGGTGCTTGGCTTTGGGGCGTTCGGGGCTTTGTGCTTCCGGCGTTTGCTGTGGGTTCCGGAAAGCTTACAGGACTGACCAAGCTTTAAGGAGCTTAATATAGGTGCCTTAATGATTAGAATAGGGTTTGGGGGCACATTATACTATATTTATCATAAGGAACCCCAGAATAGCATGAGGTTCCCCAAAGTGTTAAGCCCCTTAGAGTAAACAAGGACCCTAAACCCTGAACCCTCAACCCTAACCCTGAACCCTGAACCTTAAACCCTGGGCCCTTTAAACAAGGGACCGCTCGGGAGACGTCCAAGGACCAAGCCGAATGATCCGAATGGCTCCAGCGAGAAAGACCGGCCGCTAAACACGCGGGCGAGGTCCTGAAGCTTCTTGAAAGGGATCTATAAGGGTTCTTTTGGGGATCTGTAAGGCTTCTTTAAAGGGATCTATAAGGGTTCAAGTTGAGGGTTCAGGGTCTGGGGTTTAGGGCTTACTTGGAGGGGCAGGGGACTTAGAAAGTAGGTCATAGGTAGAGTTAGAAGTACCCTAAATGGAGTTACCCCAATTATAACCCTACTTATAACCTACTTACTAAGTCCCCTGCCCCTCCGAGTAAAGGGATCTATAAGGGTTCGTTAAGGGATCCATAATCTATAGGGCATTTAGGGCTTATAGGGTTTAGTGGCTTAGGGTTTAGGGTTGATAGGGTTTGGGGGTTAAGGGTTGAGAGAATTTAGGGTTCCGGGGAGGTCGTGGGACAGTTTCTGCAGGGATTTAGGAGGGTGCAGGGAAGGGTGGGGTGTTGCTGTTTACTGTTTTTAGGCCTCAGGGCTACAAGCTATTTGGGGTTTCAGGGTTTAGGGTTTAGGGTTAGGGTGGGCTATCCGGCTCAGCTCCTCTAAACTCTAAACCCTAAACCTAGACCTAAACCTAAGCTTGCCCTAAACCCTGAACCCTGAGCCCTGAACCCTGCTTTTGTTTTGCATTCTCCCCGCCTCTGACTACAAAATTTCGCAATCGTTGCGGAGTCTCTCGGCGCAAGCAGCAGGCAAATCACCCGACTGAAGGCTCCTCTGTCATGGGTCCCTGTTCCGGGATCCCAAAGCATTAGAAGCAGCAGTTTCCTTGAGGCATCAAAAGAATCATATACAACATATAGTACATAATATGCAATACAGTTTATAACCCTAAACCGTAAGCTGTTTCCCTGCCCGAAAAGACAGGAGTTCGGATTAGGGTTGCGGACATAGATCCTCTCAATAAGGTCCGTTTGATGAGAGCCAGAAGTGTGGTAAAGAAGGACCCTTCAAGGGGGTCTCCCTAATAAAAGAACCCTAGACCCTCAGTATTAACTCTAAATCCGAAGAAGCAGACCCCCAACCCCTACAGTAAGTGGGGACTTTAATTAATTGGGGTATCTTATACTAGAGTGGTAATAAGGAACCCCCAAAATAGTATAGGTAAGGATTGAGGCCCCTAAACTGGATCCCTGAAGTGCATTATGTCCCAGTGATGCCCTTGGGGGAGCAGCTGAAGGTTTTCGGTGTAAAGCTTTCAGGGATTGGGCTGCGTCAAACCCTAAACTCTGAACCCTGCAACCCTGAACCGCCCTAAACCCAACCCCATAGAAACCTTATAACTTGTCACCTTATGAGGCCCCAACTAGGATCCTACGGCCAACGTCTGTTGCAAATCCCCTTGTACGGGCCTGTATACCCCAACGGCATCATGCTTATGTTCAGGCGATGTCTTGTACCCGTAAGGTCTACAAATGACACGGGTTGACTGGGCGGCGTGACCGTCACAAAACCGGCTTCTAATGCACGAGGGGACAGGAGACTTTGCCAAAAGCTTGGATCAGCTGCATCCCCGAAGCAGCCTTGCATTGATAGGCCAAGAGGATACAGGAGACTGCCATGGATCAGTGCCAGCAGCTTTGAACTTGGCATTTGTACCTTCGGAGTTCAATCCCGGATCTCTTCTGGACTGCTTACGGTTTAGGGTTTAGGGTTTAGGGCTTTAGGGTTTAGGGCTTAGAAAAGGCTGATCCGGTTCCAAGCTGCTCAACATTGAACGTGACACGGGCGAGGAGGAAAAATCGGCCAGAAGCATGGGACAGGACCGAGCAGCAAAACCAAACTTCAAAGCAAGAACTGCTCTCCGTTACCCTTTGGAAGACTCATCTACAGCGGATAACCTGCTGCAGATGGGACCAATCACACATACAGGAATAGGAGTTTAAAACTATCTGCCAGGAGGTTGGACGGGTCCCAATGGTTGCACGGCAAGGTGCGTGTCCCAACTGTGTCCTTCTGAATTAGCTTAAACAAAACGACGCTGGTTGCCAGCTGTTCACGCTCAGGGACCATCAAAGCAGACAGCTGCTTGCACGGAGAAAGAAGCTTTAATAGGGTTTAGGATCATGTGTTTAGGGTTTACAGCTTCTATGTCAATTATGGTAACGTGATATGAACCCCAAAAGGTTAAAGGTCACCTACTCTGTTACTAAGGGAAGAAGCTTTGATAGTTGAACTCAGGGTCGCATCGTAATCATGCCGACTGACTGCACTGTTAAGTCCCGCTTAGCGTGTGGAAACGATGTCATCCAAAAATTACTGATGACTTCCGTATTACAGATTCATGCCGTGATCCGGGAACATCGACGGAACGGACCTTAAATCACTGTTTCATGCAGATATGCTGGCGCCAATCACCAGGTGTGAAGGCAGCCAATTTAAGATATGTTGGCATTGATGTGCAATTGAAAAAAGCTTCAGTGCAACACAAAACTGAAAGAGCCCCTCTCAGGAACAACTTCCGCGGCGCAGGTGACCTCTGATGATCAGGTGTCTGGCCCATGGGGGCCTTACACGGACCTCGATCGTCGGTGCGAACCGGACACCCGGGTGTGGAACTGAATAAAAGTACGCTCCACCGGGCATTCCGAAGATCCCTGAGAGACCGCACGAGCCCACTCCGTGCTCAGCTCGCTGATGCTCTCCAGGTCATCGTCATCATCGTCACTGCCCGCGACGGTTGAGGCTTTTTGAAAGATGTCTTCGGAGATTTCGTCGACGGGCATCTGGGACTTAGGGGAAAGAACCGGGGCATCAGTGCTCAGGAGCTGCATCATGGATGGCGCAGGCATGGGCTGCGCTTGCATTGCCTGCATGACTGGCATGGGCTGCGCCTGCATTGCCTGCATGGGCTGCATGGGCTGGGCAGGACGCAAAGGCTGCATCGGCTGCATGATGGGTCCCATGGGCTGCACAGGTTGGGTGGGCTGCAGCATGGGCTGCATCCTGGGCTGCATCTGTCCCATTGGCTGCTGCACGGGCTGCATAGGTTGGGGCTGGTGAACCGACATGGTGGTCATTAGCGGCATCATCATGGGCACTGCAATGAAGGTCTGCGGAGCGTTGCCGGCTGGGCACATGTTGGGCGAATTTCCGGCGCCAAAGTTTGGCAACATCGTCACGCATGGTGACTCGGACTCGCCATTGCTGGACGGAGAAGCCGATGCCTGCGCGACATTAGCCTCCTCTTCCATGGCACTGTAGCGGTCCATAGCCTTCTCAAACTCCTCCGCCGTCAGCCTCGGTTCAGTTTCACAGGCTTTGCGCTCGCCTCTACACCCCTTAGCGTTGATTAGACAGGCGATGCCTCGTCGACGCAACAGACTCGAACCTCCCCGAAACTCTCCCAACAGCATCCTTCCGACATGCACTGAACCCCAAACCGTCCTGCCAAACACATCTCACATCTTAAGGGCATCCACGTAACATGGACCCGAGCTTCTTGTGCAGCCGCTGCCGCACACGCCTCTTGAGAGCTCGGTTGGGTGCCTCAGCACTGGCGGCGGCGGCAGACGTCAAGATCTCCTGCAGGGGATACGCAGGAAGATACAGTTCGGGAGCAACGGCATCTGGGGGGTTCGATGACTCCTCAACCACGGACGCTGGCAACGCGCTGCCGCGCTTCATCATGACCATGCGTTCCATCTGGGAGTTGCTTCCTTCGCACATGGCTGCAGACCCGATTGGGATGTCGCGAGAAGCGGCAGAAGGCGATTTCACCTCGAACCTTTGAACCACCTGTTTGCTGCCGGCACGAAGACTTTCGGTAGCTTGATTCAAGGTGGAAGACCCCGAAGCCAGCAAGCGAAATCGGTTCGCATGATTTTGTCTCCTCGCTTGTGTTCTGCCGGATCACAAAATTTCTTAGCTTGAGCTCCGTTGTCTTGGGGGGAAGTCCCACCGGTCATGCATGGGAAGACCTGAGGGGACAAACTTTGCCAAGAGCATTCCCTCTTAGCCTTGCATAGGAAGGCAAGAGGGGAAAGGAGGTGTTGCCAAGAACATCTCCTCAGACTTACATAGGAAGGCCAGAGGGGATAAGAGACGTTGCCAATCACCGGTGGCAGCTCGGAACTTTGATGCTTGTGTCTCATTGTTTTTGGGGTGACCTATGGCGGTTCCAAGCTGTTCAAGCCGGCATTTTTAGCCGCGGCAGGGGCGAGGAGGAAATTGCTTGCAGCCAGAAGCTTGGGAATCGACCGAGCAGCAGAAACAAACCCACTCCACAGTCTCTTGAAGGGAACAGTTGCAGAACATGGCCATTTGGTAGCCATGCCAATGCAACTATTCCCTTTGCACTTCACTGCAACCCATGTCGTTAATGCTTGAACAGATGGAAACAGAAAAGGCATGCTGAAAGCAGTGCACTTGCCGATCGGGCGGAAGTGGCCGATGTTTGTACCGACAGCCGTGTTTCCCAACTGGTTCTTTCCGAATTAACTTAAATATTGCCTTCAGGGACCATTACAACATATTACGCTAACAGCTGCAGGAAGGTCTAACGAAAATGCTGAGGGGAGTATCAAAATCCATGCATACTGACTACAGGCCTAGGTCTTCGCAATGGAAGGAAGCGCCATCCAAAAACCTTGATGACTTTTGTCTCGGAAATTTATGCCGTGTCCGCGAACATCGCCGGAACGGACCTTAAACCACTGTCTCACGCGGAAATTCTGGCGCCAAGCACTCAGTGTGAAGGCAGCCAATTCAAGCCTTGATAGCCTTGTGATCTGCAATTGAAAAAGCTTCAATGCGAAACAAACACTGAAACAAATCTCGTAGAAACAACTTCCGCGGCGCAGGTGACCTCGGATGATCAGGTGAAGCGGGTGTCTGGACCCCCGCGGGCCCTACACGGACCTCGATCGTCGGTGCGAACCAGACACCCGGGTGTGGAATTGAATAAAAGTACGCTCCACCGGAAATTCCGAAGATCCCTGAGAGACCGCACGAGCCCACTCCGTGCTCAGCTCGCTGATGCTCTCCAGGTCATCGTCATCATCGTCACCGTCCGCGACGGTTGAGGCTGTCTGAAAGATGTCCTCGGAGATCTCGTCGACGGGCATCTGGGACTTAGGGGAAAGGACTGGGGCATCAGTGCTCAGGAGCTGCATCATGACTGGCGCAGGCATGGGCTGCGCTTGCATTGCCTGCATGACTGGCATGGGCTGCGCCTGCATTGCCGGCATGGGCTGCATGGGCTGGGCAGGACGCAAAGGCTGCATCGGCTGCATGATGGGTCCCATGGGCTGCATAGGTCCCATGGGCTGCACAGGTTGGGTGGGCTGCAGCATGGGCTGCATCATGGGCTGCATCTGTCCCATTGGCTGCTGCACGGGCTGCATAGGTTCGGGCTGATGCACCGACATGGTGGTCATTAGCGGCATCATCATGGGTACTGCAATGAAGGTCTGCGGAGCGTTGCCGGCTGGACACATGTTGGGCGAATTTCCGGCGCCAAAGTTTGGCAACATCGTCACGCATGGTGACTCGGACTCGCCATTGCTGGACGGAGAAGCCGATGCCTGCGAGACATTAGCCTCCTCTTCCATGGCACTGTAGCGGTCCATAGCCTTCTCAAACTCCTCCGCCGTCAGCCTCGGTTCAGTTTCACAGGCTTCGCACTCGCCTCTACACCCCTTCGCGTTGATTAGACAGGCGATGCCTCGTCGACCCAACAGACTCGAACCTCCCCGAAACTCTCCCAACAGCATCCTTCCGACATGCGCTGAACCCCAAACCGTCCTGCCAAACACATCTCACATCTTAAGGGCATCCACGTAACATGGACCCGAGCTTCTTGTGCAGCCGCTGCCGCACACGCCTCTTGAGAGCTCGGTTGGGTGCCTCAGCACTGGCGGCGGCGGCAGACGTCAAGATCTCCTGCAGGGGATACGCAGGAAGATACAGTTCGGGAGCAACGGCATCTGGGGGGTTCGATGACTCATGACCATGCGTTCCATCTGGGAGTTGCTTCCTTCGCACATGGCTGCAGACCCGATTGGGATGTCGCGAGAAGCGGCAGAAGGCGATTTCACCTCGAACCTTTGAACCACCTGTTTGCTGCCGGCACGAAGACTTTCGGTAGCTTGATTCAAGGTGGAAGACCCCGAAGCCTGCAAGCGAAATCGGTTCGCATGATTTTGTCTCCTCGCTTGTGTTCTGCCGGATCACAAAATTTCTTAGCTTGAGCTCCGTTGTCTTGCGGGGAAGTCCCGCCGGTCATGCATGGGAAGACCTGAGGGGACAAACTTGGCCAAGAGCATCCCCTCTTAGCCTTGCATTGGAAGGCAAGAGGGGAAAGGAGGTGTTGCCAAGAACATCCCCTCAGCCTTACATAGGAAGGCCAGAGGGGACAAGAGACGTTGCCAATCACCGGTGGCAGCTCGGAACTTTGATGCTTGTGTCTCATTATTTTTGGGGTGACCTATTGCGGTTCCAAGCTGTTCAAGCCGGCATTTTTGGCCGCGGCAGGGGCGAGGAGGAAATTGCTTGCAGCCAGAAGCTTGGGAATCGACCGAGCAGCAGAAACAAACCCACTCCACAGTCTCTTGAAGGGAACAGTTGCAGAACATGGCCATTTGGTAGCCATGCGAATGCAACTATTCCCTTTGCACTTCACTGCAGCCCATGTCGTTAATGCTTGAACAGATGGCAACAGAAAAAGCATGCTGAAGGCAGTGCACTTGCAGATCGGGCGGAAGTGGCCGATGTTTGTACCGACAGCCGTGTTTCCCAACTGGTTCTTTCCGAATTAACTTAAATATTGCCTTCAGGGACCATTACAACATATTACGCTAACAGCTGCAGGAAGGTCTAACGAAAATGCTGAGGGGAGTATCAAAATCCATGCATACTGACTACAGGCCTAGGTCCCTCTTCGCAATGGAAGGAAGCGCCATCCAAAAACCTTGATGACTTTTGTCTCGGAAATTTATGCCGTGTCCGCGAACATCGCCGGAACGGACCTTAAACCACTGTCTCACGCGGAAATTCTGGCGCCAAGCACTCAGTGTGAAGGCAGCCAATTCAAGCCTTGATAGCCTTGTGATCTGCAATTGAAAAAGCTTCAATGCGAAACAAACACTGAAACAAATCTCGTAGAAACAACTTCCGCGGCGCAGGTGACCTCGGATGATCAGGTGAAGCGGGTGTCTGGACCCCCGCGGGCCCTACACGGACCTCGATCGTCGGTGCGAACCAGACACCCGGGTGTGGAATTGAATAAAAGTACGCTCCACCGGAAATTCCGAAGATCCCTGAGAGACCGCACGAGCCCACTCCGTGCTCAGCTCGCTGATGCTCTCCAGGTCATCGTCATCATCGTCACCGTCCGCGACGGTTGAGGCTGTCTGAAAGATGTCCTCGGAGATCTCGTCGACGGGCATCTGGGACTTAGGGGAAAGGACTGGGGCATCAGTGCTCAGGAGCTGCATCATGGCTGGCGCAGGCATGGGCTGCGCTTGCATTGCCTGCATGACTGGCATGGGCTGCGCCTGCATTGCCGGCATGGGCTGCATGGGCTGGGCAGGACGCAAAGACTGCATCGGCTGCATGATGGGTCCCATGGGCTGCATAGGTCCCATGGGCTGCACAGGTTGGGTGGGCTGCAGCATGGGCTGCATCATGGGCTGCATCTGTCCCATTGGCTGCTGCACGGGCTGCATAGGTTGGGGCTGATGCACCGACATGGTGGTCATTAGCGGCATCATCATGGGTACTGCAATGAAGGTCTGCGGAGCGTTGCCGGCTGGACACATGTTGGGCGAATTTCCGGCGCCAAAGTTTGGCAACATCGTCACGCATGGTGACTCGGACTCGCCATTGCTGGACGGAGAAGCCGATGCCTGCGAGACATTAGCCTCCTCTTCCATGGCACTGTAGCGGTCCATAGCCTTCTCAAACTCCTCCGCCGTCAGCCTCGGTTCAGTTTCACAGGCTTCGCACTCGCCTCTACACCCCTTAGCGTTGATTAGACAGGCGATGCCTCGTCGACGCAACAGACTCGAACCTCCCCGAAACTCTCCCAACAGCATCCTTCCGACATGCGCTGAACCCCAAACCACCCTGCCAAACACATCTCACATCTTAAGGGCATCCACGTAACATGGACCCGAGCTTCTTGTGCAGCCGCTGCCGCACACGCCTCTTGAGAGCTCGGTTGGGTGCCTCAGCACTGGCGGCGGCGGCAGAC